CCGGCCATTTTTTGGTTGCAGCCATCATTGTTGTTTGGCAGGCCCGGGCTGGGGATCTGAACCCGCCACCTTAGGTGTATGTGGCTGGCGCCTTAGCCGATTGAGCCACAGGCGCTGAGCCAGAATAAAAGTCTTAATGTTTTGTCTATGTGGTAAGGAGGGTCCAGTTTCTGAGCTTTTTATAACCAGACTGCACACGTGTGTTCAGAAGAAGTCTGTTTTCAGCTTGATCTCTGAGCTCACCTCGTTTATAATCTTTTTCACAACACATAAAGGAAGGGACTGATAAGCTTGATAAATTTGGTGTTTTACTTTACAATTAATTTGATTTCCCATTTTGAAATAAATAGAAGACAATACATTCTACCAGAAAGAGGGAGTAAATGATAGCAACAATCAGAGAACTGGGCCATAGGTGGTATTTTCTCTTTAGAGTGCTTTTTGTTGGGTATCTTTTTTTTTTTTTTTAATCCAAACATTATTTAAAAGATGCTTTCTCCCCAGAGGAATGAAATAGTGAGAGAATGGTCCTGAGATCAATCTGTCCCCAAGGCGTTTGTCTGAACCAGCCCACAGAGGGCTGGAGAGGCTGATGCCAGGTCAGGCTCCCGACACTGCCTCATGCAGAGACCCAATACTTTACAGAAAAATATCCTAATGGTCCGGAAGGATTGCTGCAGTGGTAGTGCTCTTGGGAGAATAATAGACACCCTTCTTCATCCTGTCTAATTTTCTAGCACGCCAGCCCCTAGTACCTGGCTGGTGAGCTGTAGCTGTGGAGGGATAGGCAGTGAGGGTGGTTCCTGGGCCGTGGTATCCTTGAAAGCCGGGGCAGGTCCCCCTTGTCAGGAGTACCCTGCTCTCCACACATTCTGAAGGAAATAGAGTGAAGTGGCTCCCTAACTAAGGCTCAAGTATGCGGACCCAGGCAGGATAAATATAAACAAGCAAAACTCCTAAGGCAGCCAAACTCTCTCAGAGAACTGGCACTGCTGTAGAATTGCAGAGCTAGGTAGCGTGTGAATGTGGACGGCTTGGTTAAAGTTTTATTTGTACAAGTAAAGAGAAGGGTTAAGCAAGCACATGATCATTTCAGAGAAGATTTTTAAGCTCCTGCCAATGAGGAAAAGGAGATTTTAAGCCTAAGTGGCTTGGTTTCTTCATCTACACCAATCACTTTAACCCAGAAAATCATTCATTTTGTTTATGTTGACATTAATGGGCTACTAAATATGTGTAAAAGATAGCCAGTGAAAGGAGAGAGAAGCTTCTTGTTCCTCAGGTCCTGATCCAGGCATTTCCTCCACCATCAAAGATGTTTCTCTTAGTCTGCAGTTCGCTGGAGGAAGCCCGGGCAGGATGAGCTTGGGAGTGGGGTAAGGAAGAGGTCGAAAACTAGGTCATTCTTTTAGCGTGCCTTCTCATCCTGGTTTATCAGGGGTTCTGACTTGGCCTTTTGAATAAAAGGAGAAGCGGAGGAATGCAGGTGTGACCTAAAAGGCCTCCCTAAAGACTATCCCCTGACCAGGACGGCTTTCTCTCAGAGTCCAGGGAATCCATTCCCTCCCCTGAGCTGGGTGACAAGCGTAGTCATAGGGATCAGATAGTGCCTTATTGAAACCTCTGTTCCTACTAGGGAAGGGAAAAAAGTTCATCTTAAAATGTGGATTTAAAAATGTGTCCTATGGACAGGGCTGGGGACATTCGAGAAAAGAACCCCCCCCCCCAGGGTTGGAGCTCGCCTTCCTTGGCTCTCTTTCTGGGCTTTCTGCCACTAACGTCAAATTCTGACTTCTCCCTGGTTCTTTGTAACTGATGCTCTGAAAGGGAGCCTGACCTTTGGTGCTCGGCCTCATTCTGGCACCAAGGTGTAATTTGATCACAAAGCCAATTTTCCCACCCATTAGTTGGTGTGATTTTGAAAAATTTAAAAGTAGGTAAACCGATTTTGTTTGGGTTAATACTGAGGCTCTCAACAATTTTCAGGTCATCAGAAGAATGCGAGGCTCTTGGTCTGCGTAGGGCTGCGTATCCCACCACTCTCACTGATAAAAACACCGTTATGCCCTGCCAGGGTGTGTGCAAATCAGGAGCCTACAGCGGTGGCCAGGGCCTAAAAGGAATGGTTGGGTATTCAAAGAATAGGGTCCTTTGTTGTAACCATTTGTCATAAAATAATAACACTTCCTTTTACCCTGAAAAAGAATGAGGTAGCACAGGAGAGGAAATTCCAAGTGTCTGTGCTTCAGTACAGGATGGGAGGAAGTAAAAGGTTTGAAGATGGAACTGAAAGATTATTCTAGTTGTCTTCGCTTTCCATCTCGGTGGAAAGCCTGATTTTTCCATATCATGTCTGTTTTTTTACAGTGAAGTTTTGCAATTTGTATTTGCTGTGTTTTACTTACATAATTACTTTTTCTTATGTTAGGATTGTGTAAAAATGGACATGTCTGTTTTGCAGGTGAACATCATTCCAATAATTGCAAAAGCTGACACCATTGCCAAGAATGAACTGCACAAATTTAAGAGTAAGATCATGAGCGAACTAGTCAGCAATGGGGTCCAGATATATCAGTTCCCCACTGACGAAGAAACTGTGGCAGAGATTAATGCAACGATGAGTGTAAGTCCTCACGCTGTGGGACCTGGGGACGTTCCTGAAAGCATTTCTTAGGGGCAGCAGGGAGGAATGGCTGGGACGCTGCCCAGGACCCAGCTCTGCCCAGACGGCAAGTCTTTAAACCAGCCTGCCCCTCAGCTTCTCCATTGTTAAATGGGAGCATTAGACAAGATCATCTCAGATTTCCTTTTCATTCCAACAGTGGTGATTTCTATGGCAAATCTTATGAGAAGGAAATAACAGCCCCCCACAATTTGATACAAAGCAGCTGAAGGGGAATAGATCTCTGCCTGTCTCTGCCAGAAACAGTCTGCCTGTCTCGGTTTTGCTTGGGTGATTGGCTCCTGCCCTTCCCTCCTATTTCCCTCCCCCGAATCATTAGATAAACTTGTCGTTAGGATACATTTCCACATCACAGAGAGGAACTGTCAGGAAGTAAATGGTAAGGCTGCAGTGTTCCGTGTGCTGGCCATGCCCTTCTCCTGGTGAGCCCCCCTCCTGCTGAGCCCTCCTCCTGATTAGCCCTCTCCTAGTGAGCCCCCTTCTCCTGGTGAGCCCCCCTGTCCTGGTGAGCCCCTCTCCTAGTGAGCCCCCCTGTCCTGGTGAGCCC